TTCTCTCGTTATCCGCATTCATACATATCATTTATTGCATTTATTAGTGTATCAAGAGAGTAAATACTCAACGGTCCTTACTTTTCTTTAATGATAAAATTGTGCTCCAGGCTTACGATAAGGGAAAGAAAATAATACATCCCTGAGATCGACTCAACTTCAATGAGGTCTTATAAATAAGACGTAAATCATTTTTGTAAATACAGAAACTTTTCACAGTATAGATTACTGACTTGGACAGAAGCATACAGGCTATACGATTAGGGAGGGAAAGCGGGGGGGATTTCCCCCCTCTAAATTTTTTCTTATGTTATAGCTTTCTCCCTGAAAATTTTCATTACGAGTAGTTAACCGTTTTTACTCAATGATTTAGAGAAAATGAATCACTTTCAAAAAGAAATATCTCAGATCCAAAAAGAAAATGGATCAGTTTCAGGACGTACTATTAGGTGGGGGAAGTTAGGAGATTTTCCTCATCTAAAGTTTTTTGTGTTATGACTTTCTTCTTGGAAATTTTGTACGAGCACTCACTGATTTCTAACACCGTTTGGAATGAAAGAGAAACAGTAAAATTTCCAAGGAAAACATGTTCGAAATGAAGGAGAAAACAGTAAATTTCGAAGAGAAAATCATTCGAAATGAAAGGTATAGAGTAAATAAACTTGTTTTCATTCATTTGAAATTTTTTCAAAAGTTTATTAACGCGAAAAACGGAAAAAGCAAATTTCTAAAATTGAGACAAGGCGATCTGACTTTTTTGACCACGAATACGTTTTATTACAGAAAAATTAATGTAAAGAACTGTTTCTCCCTAGTTTTGGGAGATTTTCTCCCAGAACTTTTCCCCCCTCTAACCAAAACCAAACGAAAACTATGATTACGTATAAGAAACAACACTATTACAGTTATGTAACCGAGCTTTATCGAATACATAACTCTCAACCATATTTTGAATGATATAAGCTGAACTATTTTCAACGCGTTCAGCAAAACTCTCATATTTTAGTTATTGTTTCAACGTAACAGCAATACAAGTCGTATTGAAGCATTTTTCATGGGTTTTCAATGATTCTCTTATATCACAGGCATACGTATAGTGATAGTCGAGAAAATTTCTACACATTGTCCTCTCATACAATGAACTAATATGCACTACTTACAATCTTCAAACTCGAAAATTTTTTTTTTTGTTGATTTTTTTTCTCAAAACGGTACAATAATTTTGCAATTCATCCATATATATATATATGAGTAACTTTACTTTTCGAATCGAATAATATACAATGTTGCTCTTAACAGGTTTCTCCAGAAACGAAAAATTATTTAGAAAAAATCATTGACTTTCTCGCATTTCTGAAGCCAATGAACAAGTTTGATTAATTTATTAAATAAAATTTTATTTTATAATGAAGAATTCAAATGATTTTAGTAAGAATATTCCATTTGAATTTTTCTTTTTATCGAAAGAAAAAAAAAGTCTTTATATTAAATCGAAAATAATTTTTTCGTTTATATAAATAAAGTTTGTTATTTATTTTTGTCAAACAAGTCCTAAGAAAGATAGATATTTATTCTTATTCTATAAATAAAGATTGAAAACAGAAAGATCCGCCAATAAGAATCTCGAAAAGAGAACAGGCGAAAAGAACTGAATATCTGCCAGTACTAAATGATTTATTTGAATTGTTATGTTTGAAGATTTGATTGTCAATGCGCATATGTCTTTTCTCATAAGATAAAACTAATCTATCTAAATAGAAAGAAATTTTTCGGGAAAGACGCAAGAGAACTGATAATAAATAACGTTATTCTAATAATACAAGTTTAGTCTGTAAATGTGTTTCTATAAATATCAATTGTCATTTATCTGTCAATAAGAAAAATCTTTTAGTTAATTCCAACGGAAAATAATTCATGTTGTTTTATATAGATAATGTATATATTGACTTGCAACAAATGCTTTTTCTATTTATTTTCTACGTATAAGCAAGAATAAATTATTAATGGGAATTTTAAAAGGAAAAGATATTGCATTAGAAAATGTTGAAAAATCGAAATTAGCCTTTTTAGCAACATTAATTAATGTTGAAAAAGGCCCATCAAAACCTACAATGCCACCAAAGGATCATTTTACATTAATATTTGATCGAGATTCAATTAGAAATTTAAAAGGACGTGTTTATGAAAATATGAAACAATATACATATGAACAACTAGGTTTGATTTAATTCAACTTTTTTTTAAAAATATCTTCAATAAAAAGAATATAATTTTATATTAAAGGTGAAAGTCTTCCTGTTTTTATAAATGATAAAGAAACTGAAGATACTGATGGTAATCTAATTAATCCAATAAAACCAGAAGTTCCAACAGTTGGTCGTCAATATATTGCTTGTATTTGTGATGATCTTAAAGTAATTGATTATCTTATTGATATTGATTCGAGTGAAGTTGATGATTTAATTTTAATAGCTAATTCAAGACGAAGATCACTTATTTAAACTTATTTTTTTTAATGTCAGCTTATTACTTTAATACTTATTTATTATTTTATTTACCTTCCTTTTTATATTTTTTAATTAAATTAATATTAGTTTTCTTTTGTCATAAATAAATATTATATTTACGAATGAATTCTTAATTATTAACTATTATTATCAGCAATCTTCAAGATTTATTTTATTGAAAAATAAACTTTGTTTTTTCTTTTCTTCGATAATATTATTTATATTGATGTGTTTTTTAATAAAAACTAAAACGATTGAATATATTCATTATTAATGAGAATTATTTTTTTTTTCTATTGAAAAATATTTTTTATTTTCGAATTTTTAATGTTACAGAAAAAAGTTCGATTTATAACAGAAAAGTTTTATTTTTCCTTCAGTTCTAATTAGAGAGAGAACGTTCAAAAGTTGAAGAAAATTGTTTGAATAATCTTTCTCAATTAAGAGAAAATTCGAGATGAAATTCTAAAATGTAGGGGCTTACACATTCCTCGTTCTAACTATCGACAATTTAATTATTATTTATTACTTCGATTAATCAAGAAAATTAAAGCGAACTATTTCGATAATTTATTCGATTTATTGTTTTTAGATTTTAATTAAAATTTAATTTATAATTACAAATACTTTATTCGAAAACAAAAGACTTTAAATTATTTTCATTCAATAAACTTTGTCAATATTTTATTAATTAAATCACAAATACGTGATCTTATTTTTAAACATTAGTTACTTTCATATATATTACAAAAGAGATTGAAAATGCATTTTGCAAAGCAAAGAAATACAAAAATAAAAGAATTCAGCTTAAAAGATTTTCCTATAAGATAATTTATTTTCAATAGTTTATAATCAAACTTCTAAAAAGTCAATTCATAGGTTTAAAAAAACCAGAATTGTCAATAATTTTGAATGTGCAAATTTCCTCCGTCGATATTTGCAGTCGTCGCTCATTATACGTCCATATCTATGTCGTAGACAAATATTCTTATTCGAAAAATATTAGGTATTCATCAAATCACCATTTTCTATTGGTTTACTCTTGTTTAAGAACCCGTTGGATTAACCTGAGTCCCTATGCATTGATAATATTGAAAACTTTAGCAACTATTTTTCTCAAGCTTTTCATTTATCTAAAACAGACCACAAAAGTTTAAGACACTTTTTATTTTTTTTATATTTTTTTAAACGTAAGAAAAAAATAAATATCTTTATACATATAGATGTAGTTAGGATTGGGATCTACATGGGATGTGGGTATGGGTGGAGATTAAAGCATCGACACCGACACCTACACCCATCTTAGAACATCAGGACTATCAGCTAAAGCAATATCTTTTCTTATGCTCTAATAATGAAACACGGGAATATAAAAAAATACTAATATAACCACAACAACACTGATTCATTTCTTCTTCTTTTATTAAGAAAGAGATTCTTTCATAGATAATTTTTTTTTTTGAAGGAATAACATACGCGTCTAAATTAATAAAAATCAATGAAAATCCGTGAAATAGCATCGATATTTCACAGTGTCATCGATTATTCTAAGATAAAATGAGTCTTCATTACGGAAAAAACCATTTCATGTAAAGTAATACAGTGTTTTTATATGAAATATATATTCTTGGGCCACGTAAATTCTTTTTTCGTTTAGTGTCGCGATAAGAAATGTTTTAAGAGCAAAATATGTTAGTGTAGGGTGAAAGAAGCGCGTCAACTCTTTTACAGAAGATAAAGAAAAATGTTTTGTGCGTTTGCACAGTTCTCTATGATGTACTATTGACAATTACACCTTGATATTTAATGTGAAATAAGATAGTCACCTATAGTGAAGGTGTTTATGATATCTACAATGTATATAAGATGTTCACAAGTCACAATTTTAGCAGACTTTATTGTTTCTTTTCTTCTGATGATTAGATACAGCTTGCCGAGCGGTATACGAGAATATGTTTCAAACTCGAAAAAGTTATTTTAACAAGCCAGAAATTTTTGTTTATTTATCTCACATTTGAAAAAATGGTTTCTTGAAAGTTTCGTAAAATTGATATTTTCAAGTTTGAAAAACACATTCTCTTATGCCACTCGACAAGCTCTATCTTATCATTACGAAAAAAAAGAAACAATAAGTTCTGCTGAAACCGTGCTATAGTGAACGCCATCAGCGACTCATATGTTGAAATTTTTAGTTTTGCAATAGGACATTTAATCTGACCCAAATATATGCCTAATCTTATTAGCAACTGTCATCACAAAGATTTTCATTCTTAGGTAACTTCGTCATTTTTATTAGAGATTCAAACAACTGGATTACTGATTTTGTGCCAAACAAGCAGAGTGAGGTAAGTATCCAGATATTGAAGAATTTTCATCGTGATAGAAGTATATAAGACGAAAACTAAAGATATGTTTGGACCCATCCTATAGACCATAAAAGATATTTCCCAAAGTACCATTCGCGGCCTGCAGTGCTTAAAGATTTTTCAATATGCTGAGTTTTAACCGTTTCAAAGGATTTCACTAGAAGATTCTTTTGAAAGGAGTATTTGATTACAATTATATGCTCAACTGTTATACTACAAGAAACATTTCAAAATGCAAGGCTACTTAGCTACATAGAACTATGAGAAAGTTGTGACTAAAATTCTATCTTGTTGTGAAGAGCAACACAGATATGTATCATTTATAAAAATACTTGGTGATAAATGAAAATGGCAGTGGTGAATATATACTGAAATTCTCTACAATCTATAAAAGAAACATCTGACAAAATATGTGAAAATTTCTGTACTGCTTTTCATATTTGCTCATTCTAATGCTCTGTACGACGGTTATTGCATGAATGGTATCCTCCGTTTTAACTAATCTCTTAAGGCGAATTTGTAGCCTTTGAGGTTGACTATACAGATTAGAAATTCAAAACTAAACTTTCTCATATTTGTCAGAATTCGTTCTAATCGAATCGTTTCATAGGTTTCAATTTTAGCATAGGACTACTGTATTGAGAGAAAAAAACAAAACTTAAACAAGACATTCATTGTACAGGTCGTATAAAAATGCTCGTATTTCATTGTATTTTGAATATCAGAAAATGCTTTTCCGAGAGAGATTTCTATTTTGCTTCATCTTTAATACAACGCTTCTGTATTTACCTGTTATGAGATAAAATTATGGAATATTGTCTGCATTTTTACGTAGTTCATTTATAGCTCTAGAATAACTCATTTCTTTTTAGTTCGACATGCCTACAATATTAAGCAAAGGTCAGTATATTTGCAGTATTACTTCACCTATTTTGAAAAAATGCCAATAGCAAGCAATGAGAGAGATTTAGTTGCTGTTCATCAGTTAATCATTCTGAATTTACTTGTTATTTTTTCTAATTATATTAGGAAAATTAGTGCCACACTAATTCACGCACTTTCCACATTTTGTTTTGTTTTGATCTTTATATAGTGGATAAACTTTATTTACTAACGATTGGTGCCGTTGGTCTTTGCTTGATCATCAAATATTACAGAAGAAAACGATTTGAACAAAAGAAAAGAGTATGTGCTACTTGTCAATTATTGTAAATTTTCTTATCATCATGCTCGTTCTTTAGACAAGCGGCTACTTGGAATGTCATTCTCTTGATGATTTTGAAAACTTAGCTAAAGAAATATTATTACCTCATCGTTTCAATTATTTTAATTATCAAGTTGGTTATGGTTGCACATATCAAACTTCTCGAGAATATTTTAATCGCCATCTGAAAATTATACCAAAAGTGTTAACTGATGTGAGCGAAATGTCATTGCAAACAACAATATTCGGGTATGGTTGCATTTATTTAATTGAGAATGACGCATCGCATTGTGTGCTTACTCTCTCCCTTGCTCTTTAGTCATATATATAGCAATCCAATAATCATAGCACCAACAGCATTTCATCGACTAGCACATTATGACGGCGAATGGGGTACGGCACAAGGTGCAACAAATGCTGAATCAATTTATATATATAATTGGAGTTTATCGACTGTATCAGTAAACGATGTACTCAAGACAAAAGGTGAGCTCAAATATAAAAAATACTACTCATGTAAATGTGACAACAGCTAAAAGACTTATCGAAATGTTTGAAAAATTGTCAAATTTGAATCGATCATATTTTGAGAACAATTAATCAAATCCGCAGCAGTGAGGCGGGTGTGGATGTGGGTGCTCATTCAGAGTGACTTGTATAATGATTCCTTATCTTTCAGACAGATTAAGTATGAGTGTTGGCGATCGTTGAAGAGTCTAGAATGATTTAGCTTTCAACATCTTCTTTTTTATAGTATCGAGTTTTTACTATATTTCTCTATAAAACTTGTAGTTCTCTTCAGGTCACATTGGAAGTTGGCTTGTGAGTTTCGGTTTCAAACTTTGCACAAATAATGCTTTCGATTTAACCACTATTTTGTGAAAACTTCAGTTTCCTCAGTGATGTTGTCGTTGTAAAAGCAAATTGTTTCCCGATGTTCGTTTCTCAAAACAGTTGCAAAGTTTTAAGTCAAAACTCAGCAGTCAACGTTCAACATGAATTGGAGGAAACTATGAAGTTTTGTAGTAAAATTCAATAGAACAATCTATTTTTCACAGATCTCACAATAAAAGAGGCTGGATAGGCATAGATAATTACACAAAATATCAAGTTATTAATTACAGTACTTCTATGTGTTGCATCTGGTCTCTTTTTTCTGTTCGCTGTGCTTTCTACCTTCTCGTTTTCACAGACATGACAGACAGATAGATTGAATATTCTTGAAGATGAAGAAATATTGTTAATCTACTAAGGTTGCTTAATATTGTTGAATGTGATATAAGGTCTGGTGAAGAAGAAAAAGCTTTCAGCGAATTCCTTACGGAGCTAAAATATGAAAAGCGATGTATTTGTTTCACTCAATAACGAGAGCTCTCCCAGTACCGACCATACGATCCTTGACAGTACATTATTTACAATTTAAATATTTCCTTGTGCTTTTGAACACTAGAAAGAGCTTTTCAATTCTGTTTGTCATGCATATTTTGGATCTGACAAGGCGTATCAGATTCATCGTTGTTGCTCTATATTTCAACGCTCATATGCAATCATGTTGCACAAGTTAAATTGCTTCTAGTTAAGTAGTTTCCGTTGATTCTTGCTTCAAACGTATAAGTTGACTCATAAACTTACTTCATTTTATTGCACTAGGTCCTAAATGGCTACATGTTTATTTATCATCTTCAAAAGCATTACTTGAACAATGCATATTATTAGCTGAACAACAGTCATTCAAAGCAATCGTTGTTACATGTGATCATCCACATGAACGAGTTCAGTCAATTCATAAAGCAGCGTTCATTCGAGCGACTGAACGTAAACAAGATAAGACATTGAAAGAAATATTGTACACACCTAATACCAATATTGCAAGATTGAAAGCTGATGAGAGATTAGATGACCATACACCAAATGAAAAGTTAACATGGAAGGAATTTCAATGGTTAAGAACGTTAACAAAATTGCCCATAATTTGCAAAGGTATTTTATCTGTAGACGATGCAAAATTAGCTTTAGAATATGGTGCCGATGGAATTGTGGTCAGGTAAGTCCAAGTTTAGTGTTAGCCTTAAAACTATAATACTATTCCTTCACAGTAATCATGGTGGCCGCCAGGTAGATAGTGGACTATCAGCTATTGAATGTTTGAAAGATATTGTAGAATTCGTTAATGGTCGTTGTGAAGTATTTGTTGATAGTGGCATACGAACTGGAACAGATGTTTTGAAATGTTTAGCTTTGGGTGCTAAAGGTGTTCTTATTGGCCGTCCTATTTTGTATGGTCTGGCATGCGGAGGCCATAATGGTGTGGAAGCCGTACTTAATTTATTAAAACAGGAATTGATGTATGATATGGCTAGTTGTGGTCTCAAAAGAATTGAACAAATCAATGAACGAATACTATACAAATATCGTCAATGACTGCTTTTCATTTTTCTCTCCAAAATAATAAAATATTAGTGCTCTATTGTGAAATTATCGAAAGAAAAAATTGTAAAAACTTCGAAAGGAAAGGGTATGGATGTGAAAATCTATGAATTTGGTTTTTTTCATGCACACCCACATCCTACTAGTTGGAAAGAAGGTGTCACTATGAATACTTAAATTGAACTTGTGTGAACTCACTTAAATAATTCAATTGAGGCAGTGTTCATCATTTGTCAAGTTCAGTAGTTTTATGCATCCTATTCTGTATTTTAAATTTCTTCAATGATTAGTTAAAATCAATTTCGAGTATGGGTGTGGATGTGGATGTGAGCAATATCTGTTGTATTTAAACCGGCACCTAAAGTCCACACCTCGTATTCTATATATATTTAATCTGCTCATTAGCAGAAAATATTCTTTCATAGAACTTTGTATAGTAGCAATGATAAGTTATTTGAAGGAAAAAAATCCCAAGTTTGTATCAGTTAAATAATTCATGCTTATAATGAGACATATTGCCAATATTTGTATTCGAATTATCTATAGTACAAACATTTTTATTTTTTGTACAAGTATATGTAGAATACTTATAATTCCAATCGAGAGATTTCGGTAAAACGAAAAAGTCAGATGTAAATATTGTTAAATGAGTCGAATAACATTGTGTTTGGTTATGATTGGTCAATGGTCCGATCTTCATGATGTATCAAATATATATGTTATAAGAGCACAAAACAAAAATTTCACTTACTAATAAACCATCCGATTGTCATGTATTATTCGAATCTAAATAATCACAACCTGATGTATAGATATGAATTTCATAATTTAATGTAAAATGAAATCGTCCATGTGTAATCGGTGGACTTATAATAGGTCGATTGGAACAAAAATATTCTATTTCAGTTAAATTTAGTTCTCGTAAACTGTAGATTATGGATTGATACCTATTGTATGTTTCAGGACTGGGCAAGTCAAGCATTTTCTCGAGTCGAGTCGAGTCAAACAGCTTTTTGGTTTACCATTCTTCTCTGTTTATTTTTACTAAAAGAACCCATAAGGGTGTGGGTGTGAGGTGTGGGTGGGTGTGAGGTGCGGGTGAGGGTGTGGATGTGATTGTTTACTATTTACTCACACCCACACCCACCCACACCACACCCACACCCACACCCTAGATAATTAAAGATAAGATTAAGAACAGAAATAGGTAGTTAAGGATAAGGTTAAGGATAGAAATAGATAGTTAAGGATAAGGTTAAGGATAGAAATAGGTAGTTAAGGATTAGCTTAAGGATAGGATTAAGAATAAGGTTAAGAATAGAAATAGGGTTAAGGATAGAGTTAAGGATAGATATAAGGGTTAGGAATAGAAATAATAGGCTAAGGATAGAAATAGGTCGTTAGATGTAGAATCAATCAGCAACGCTAGACAAATGGTCTCCAATGAACTGATTTCTAGCCGGCTAGAAACGTTTTTAAAAGAAAGAAAAAAGGTTCGAGATAGAACCGGATTATGCACAAACCTTAAAAGGTTCCGAAAATGGTACCCAAATCTAGAACCTTTTAAGGTTCAGTATGACAACTTTTTTTTTACAGAGTAGACACTTGCTCTTTCTAACAAAAAAAACATCAAGTCTCTATGACGTTGCATCGCAGGTTTATATCAAAAACAAAATTAATGCAAAACTTTTGCACCACCCGTTAGCTTCACGAAAAATGACACGTGTGATCACAAAATTCAATCCGTAAAAATATGCATGCACACTGTTGATAAGTGGCCTTTTATAGTGTAATCCAAAATGCTGGAATGACAGTGAAAGTTTCATTTAATATCTTCACATGAGACACTTGCTAAATTCTATACAGTTCTAGAAAGCCAAAGCATTTTATAGAAGCTTCTAGAATAGTATCAACTGATAAAGAGATGCATAAGGTATCATATTCAAATCTGTTAAAACAGAAATGAAAGCCAGGCAACTGTTTCAATAGTTTGGAGTCTGGACAAACTCTAGTTGCTAGAAAAGCGTTTACATGTACTTTGAGTTGCTACAACCTATTAACAATAGTTGAATTCTACTAACTGATGTCATCCGTGCATATTACTAACCTTGTCTGAGGCATATCTAAAAGACCGAAATCGCATGTAATACTACGGGTTGATAAGATCAAAATAAAGTTCATTGGGATCCATCTGAATCCCAAGTGGTGATATGAGAGTTATTACCGCTGGTATGAAACGGTAGAATAGTTACTTGTGACGATTTTCAGATAGAAGAAGTGTTAATACTGATGGAATTATGCTTTATTGAGCTTCTTCATATCATCAATCGTCAACTGTGACGATTTATGATAGAAGATATGTTAGTGCAGATGAAGTTACACTTTATTATAATCCTTCATATCACACAATCGTGTCGTTTACATGTAAAGCACACGTTTATATACACGAGTTGAATAAGAGATGATGAAAAGAAAGATGAAGAGGTCAAGGAGAGAACAATATAAGAATGAACAAGTGATGAGGCCAAGGAGAGAACAGATATAGAAGAACAATAGAGTAACAATACATATAATATACGAGTGAATGATAATATAGAATGAGAAGCGCATTACAACAGAAAGAGAGCAAGGTTCAACCATGCATAGATAAACGTAGAAGTAACGCGATTATGAACACTATGTATCATTGATTGTACAAGTGCACACTAAGAAAGAAAAGATATCACATAAGATAATATGCCCATTGGCACAAAGCGGTCTTGATTGTGTGTGTTAATGGAATTGATCTTTCGTGAGAATTCACGTCAGCTCATGAAAACTGTTGAGATAGCTGGGATCATATGGAGATGAAAAAAATTTTGTGAGTTGATTAGAACTGTTAAGTCAACTGAGATTAAGAATCCAACAGTGACGACAAATTACTGGTCTTCCGTCACCATTTTGGATTAGTAATCGATCATTACCATTCCATCCTTAATCATCAACCCATACCGATACTTTCTTTTTACTTTTTAGATAAAAATGAAACTACTAGTTACGGGTGGAGCAGGATTCATCGGCTCGAATCTTTGCGAACATTTTCTCAAAAATCATCAAGTGGTCTGTTTGGATAATTTTTCTACCGGCTTTCGCCATAACATTGAAGTATTCCTTGAAAATCCATCATTTCAACTGATCGAAGGTGATATCCGCGAGATGGAAACCTGTCGTAGAGCTGTGCAAGATGTCGACTATGTCCTGCATCAAGCTGCACTTGGCAGTGTGCCACGATCGATCAATGATCCGATTACAACTAATTCGGTCAATATTGATGGTTTCTTGAATATGCTGATTGCCGCACGGGACGCTGGCATCAAAAGATTTATTTATGCTTCCTCATCATCGGTCTATGGTGATATAGATGAAATGCCAAAATTTGAAGATAATATTGGCAATCAGCTCTCTCCCTACGCCATTACTAAATATGTAAACGAGCTCTATGCTCAACTTTTCACTGATTTGTTTGCCATTGAAACTATTGGTTTGCGTTACTTTAACGTCTTCGGAAAGCGACAAAATCCAAATAGTCCTTATGCAGCGGTTATACCAGTCTGGGTGAACAGTTTGATTAAACATGAAAGACTGGTCATCAATGGTGATGGGACTTATTCTCGCGACTTTACCTATGTTGACAACGTTGTACATGCCAATGAGTTGGCGATGCTCACACCAACAATAGATATCTTAGAGCGGCTGAATTCTGTAGGGGATAGACCGAAAATAACACGAGTGAAGGAAATATTTAATGTGGCATTCGGTTGCCGTACAACTTTGCACGAATGCTTTTCAAGTCTACGTAATAGTCTCGGCTCATTCGACCCAGTCATTACAAGTATTGAACCGATGTACGGTCCACCACGAGGTGGCGACGTTCCGCATTCACAAGCTTCAATTGAAAAGATCAAAAGAATTCTGCATTATGATCCTAAATTTGATACACGACACGGTTTTGAACTGGCATGCAAGTGGTACTTTGAAAACAGCAAAAATCTTTGAATTATACGAGATATGATACTGATTTCTTTTGAGGACAGAAACGAAAGAAAAATGAATACTGAAGATAACTTAGGATTTTGATAAGCAGATGTGATACCCTGCGACTACTAGGGAGAATGCTACGCAGATCATGATGCAGAGAGTACAGGAATATGGATGTGGTTCTAATGTCTGCCTAAAAATTAAATGGCCGTGAATATTTTTGCAATAACTCAAGAATAGAAAGAGCTAGAGAGCTACAATTTTCACCATTGTGTAGGTAAATGAGTACTCTATATATTCATCAAGACATACTGGAAATCCTTGCTGTTTCAGTATTTGCCCACCACGAACTTTTCAAACAGTCCATTGTGGTTTTTCAAAATTCTATAGAGACATATATATCTAAAGTATGTGTGTGGGTATGTCTAATCTTTTAGTCCATACCCACACTCTCTCCTCCTTTTGAAGATGCGCGCACATAGCCTCAGCCAGTCTACTCGCATAGCCTGTGCTCTAACCACTACACTGTAAAAAAAAGGGTACTTTACCGAACCCTCCACAAAGGTTTCGTAGGTGTCAAAACGCTTCCAAATGCATCCAAAGGCTTAAAAAAAATGGTTGTTGAAATCTACGAAACCTTAAAAGGATCTGAGCACGGGAACACCCTCCAAACCATCTTCTACGAAACCTTTTTTCGCTGTACGGAACTTTAAAAAGGTTTCGTAGGAGATGACTTGGAGGGTGTACCCGTGTTCAGATCCTTTTAAGGTTTCATAGATTTCAACAACCATTTTTTTAAGCCTTTGGATCCATTTGGAAGCTTTTTGACACCTACGAAATCTTTGTGGAGGGTTCGGTAAAGTACCTTTTTTTTACAGTGTATACCATGCAGCATTTTCTCTTACTTGAAATGTCATGTTTTTTTTCAGATTGGTTCTTTCTTTGGCATTCAGTTTCATTTTTCTCTTTCACACTGGGCCTTTTCACTTACAGCTTGATTATGTTAATTTTGATAGTTTTGCATAGATTGTTGTATTCACGTAGAACTTCGGAAATTTCTTGTTCTGATATAGTTGGATAGAGCATCGACTACTCTATCAAACCATATAGTTTTCGTTTTATTTCCTTTGGGTCTTGTCCAAAAATTTGATGAATCTCGAAAAGCAGTCATAAAAGTTTTTTTATAGCAATTTTCATATGATTTCTGAGATAGTTTTTTCGATGATTATTATTTAGTGAGATACTCAAACCTTTTACTTTTAGATAGAAAAATAGTCTATTCGTATTTCTATTGAACTAAATATTTTTTGACGGATCTATTTCATATTTCTACTATAGACTCAGTGAATTTCTCAGAAACTTTTGTGTGAACTTTTTTCAGACATGGTTTTCGACTTTTTTCGGAGAAATTTTAGTGTTTTAAGAGACGTTCCATGAGAAAATCAAAAAATTCCACCTATCGAAAAACATGGGGGTCAACCGGTTTTGAATCTGACCTCATAGGAATTTAGTCCTTAGTGTACCAAATATAAATCCAAAATATTACGGCCTAAAGATCTACCTATAGTTGGCTAGGACCGATGAACCTGACATACCCTAAAAAGTACCATCCAAAAATGCAAAAAATTCAACTTTTAGTTTTGCTGAATTTTTTCCTTCAAATTTTTCCACGGTTCAAATTGAGTTATATACCAATCGATAGAGCTTGAATTGCTCTACAAAATGGTATACATGACATTTTCCCTCAATCTCAATATTGAAGTCGAAAAGTCAAAATATTGTATTTTTTGACGTAATATAATTTTTTTCCCTGTATTCCGATGAAGTATCTCTATCAAAAGATGAATGCCAAAACAGAAATAGTATCATCTTATAGCCCGTTCAATTCTGCATTGAATAATGTATTTCACATCGTTTTGAGATATTCTACACCTGAGTTACTAAGATTCAAACATAGAGCTGACATCATATTTAGTTATATTTCTTCACGAAAAAAATTTTCTTAAAATAAAGGAGGAGTCGACAAGTGATGGAATCCGCCACTTTCAGAAAGTCGATTGTGTCTTAGCGAAGTCATTATTTTGGGTGTCTGAAAGCGTTCTATTACAGAATTAATGAAATGGAGCTTGTTTTTGTTATGAATGGGTGCAGTAGCTTATCCAGTGGACATTGCATCAAGAATAGTACTGACTTTTCATGATAATCGTCTTGCTTTATCCACTTAATACATGATCGAGCAACCTCCTTTTCATATGGTTGAATAGTATTTTTTGAGGGCCTCAAAATGGTATAAAAATGTCCAGGAATAAAAGGTGAGCAGCAGAATTTAATATGGAGAACATTGGGCCACATGCTCATAAAATATCTGAAAAACCAATGATAACTAATGAAAGCCCCCATCATTGTGAATCATTGGTATTATGCGCCACGCCATTTGTCATGTAGTTGATAGGACTTTTGAAGAGCTCCAAAATGATATAAGAATATGCAAGAAAAAAACACTAGCCCGATAATAAGATCCTAAACACATTGTTGAGGGTGTCACGATTTTGAGCTTTTTTCCAGCAGAAATGAGCTAATTTCAGTTAAAAAATGATAATAGGATATTCTGAATCAGCATCAAAAACTCAGCAGTGTTCAGACTTCCGAAAAAGGAAATTTCGGAAGCTTCGGAAATTTTAAACACTTGTGTTCTAAATTGTTTGGTGGTTTCCAAAATGATGTAATTTCTGAATTTTCTGAAATTTCCGAAATTTTGTATCTAGCGAAATTTCTAATATTTCCAAAAACTTTCCATTTGCTTTGTTATGTAGTTATCGAGTTGATGGAAGCTTCGGAAATTTCTGTAATTTCCTTTTTCGGAAATCTGAACATACCTCAGAATCGGTCAGTGTGTCCGTCCGTCCAGCCGTTTATACAATAACTTTTGAAAAGCGAGTCCGATCACAATGAAATTTTCCACACAGTTTAGTCTCAACAATATCTCAATCGAGTTCGAAGATGAGCAGGATCGGCTGAGCTGTTCCTGAGTTAATGCAAAAATACTAATTTTTCCCTACGGCCTCCTATGGAATAATCGACCAATCCCCACTTTCGTGAAATACTTTCCCAATCATAGTCAAATAAAACCCCAACTATTATATACTATTCGATAGAGAATTTCACGAGCTACAAAATGGTATATAAAACATAAGGAAACAAGAAAGTTAACTCACCTATTGCAAAGATAATTAAACGGAATTCGGTTCTGTATTTGTCCACGCTCTAATTGATCCATACATAGAGCTCTATCTTCCGATCACACAGAGGATGGTTCAAGATTTTCTGGGATGGAGAACTCGAATCTGTATTTCATTCGTCTCGAAATTCCATTGGTTGAGCTATGACCAATAGAAATCAAGTTATAGGAAAAACGACTTTCTTGGGGTAAATCAAGGCAGAGAGTTCAAATCTAAGCCTTATTCGTCTACAAATCTTATTATTTTAGCACTAGCCTATAAAAATCAAGTATTTATAGAAAAGGTTTACTAAGATAATTTTTATGTCCACACATTCTAGAATGACTCATCTGTATCATTCACTTTTGGAAGTACACATAAATCTCGGATTTAAATCCGACGTTTCCATATTTATATTACCTTAGAACTTGATTTACATAGTCAGATTACATTTCTTATGAAACTTGTTTTTTGGTCTATCCCTGAGGGGGGTTCGGGCGAAATTTTTGGATAAAAATAAAAGTCCGCCAAACAGATCGAAACTGTGTTGGATCTACTCAGTTTTTGATGCTGATTCAGAATATCGTATTATTTTTAACACAAATTAACATTTTTCAAGTGAAATCGGCTCATTTCTGGTAGAAAAAAGCTCAAAATCGTGACACCCTCAGCAATGTGTTTAGGATCTTATTATCGGGCTAGTGTTTTTTTCTTGCATATTCTTATATCATTTTGGAGCTCTTCAAAAGTCCTATCAACTACATGACAAATGGCGTGGCGCATAATACCAATGATTCACAATGATGGGGGCTTTTATTAGTTATCATTGGTTTTTCAGATATTTTATGAGCATGTGGCCCAATGTTCTCCATATTAAATTCTGCTGCTCATCTTTTATTCCTGGACATTTTTATACCATTTTGAGGCCCTCAAAAAATACTATTCAACCATATGAAGGGTGGGTGTGGGTGGGTGTGGATGTGGGTGGGGTGGGTGTGGCTGTGGGTGTGGGTGTGGGTGTAGGTGGGGTATGGGTGTGAGTGTGGGTGTTGATCTTCTCTTCACCCACACCTACACCCCATACCCACACCCACACCCACACCCACACCCACACACCCTAAAAAATTTATATCAGGACGGGCGAAACTTTTGTCGTTGACTAATTAGATTTCTTTGTTTAGTCTTGCGTTGTACAATTGTGCACGCATACGATTTATTTTAACTTTAAAATCAGCATCTAATATTCCACCATGTTTGTCAATGTTAATAGTTAACAGGAATGTTGAAATTTCATCCAATATAGGAAATATTAACTTTGTAAATATATTTTCATGACGAGTTATTTTACATTGATGTTGAGCAATAACAGTCTTAAAATTATTACCAGTTGTTATCAATTCATCTAATTTCTTTGAGGTCATTTCATCAAATTTTATTTTATCACTCATAAATTGTTCATATTGATCATTTTTACTGATGATTCTTTCTAATGAGATATTTACCTTCGCCATGCTGCTAATTAATTCATCAATTTTAGTTACTACTGAATTTGTAGTATTAGTATTTGTTGTCCAACGTTGCGGATTAGGACGTGGTGGAAAATTCGCTGGATGATAATGATAATTGTTGCTGTTGAATTTAGTTGCTGCTGTCGATGATGACGAGATTTTAGTAGATAAAAGTTTATTTGTTAATTCAGCTCGAAAAGTTTTAACAATAGGACATTTTAATGCATTGGAATTATGTTCACCATTACAATGAACACATTTACTCACTAAAGAACAACTGTGTTGTCGAAGATCAGGACAAGAAATACCACAAATTTTGCACGTTTTATTAATTTCTTTACATTGTTTCTTAAAATGGTCAATTGCCATGCATTTAGAACAAATTAGAACAGAAGCCGGTGCTAAATATTCTACAATATCATAGGTGATATCATTAATTGTTAATTTACCATCAGATAGAATTTCATTTCGACTTGTA